CAGCTTTCCCCTCCAATCACTAGAGGCGCTTCAATCAACCTATTAAAGTTTTCTTTTTCCTGCCGGACCGTGCGCCAAGATTTGAAGTTTATTTTGTCATTTCCAGTCGTCAAAATTTAAATTTTGAACTTCTCCCAACATTTAGAATTATCAATTACCTATCAATTATCAATAATTATTATCTCAAAATGTCTTCTCCCAGTTTGTTAATTGAAAAGCATCAGAAATGCTGTGTTCCGGGGTGCGGCGACAAATACAGCAGCTATTTCCGGTTTCCAAAAGATGCCGAAAAAATGAAACAATGGCTAGAAAAAGTTCGCAATCCTTTACTACATAGCCTAAGTGTCGAGAAGGCTTATAATAATTATAGAGTGTGAACAAGACATTTTCCTCGAGAATTTATTGTTGGCGATCCAAAAGCCAGACGAGGACTCACATGGAATGCTGCGCTTTTGCTGTATCTCCCTGAAGGTAAGTTAATACTAGATATATGTGAGAAAGACGTACTTACATTTTCACTTACTCCTCCCCATAGTTCTGATTAACGACAACGTGTTAGAATTCGGGTTTAAAGGAGCATAGGTCAGAAACATTAAAATTAATTTTAATTTTAGCCCCAATTATCAAAAACAGCGAGGAGTCGTTAATTGATAAACCACAATCACCATAATGGCAAAAAGTGGAGTTCGACACAGTTGAAACTCGTCGAAGAGTCCTAAGACGCCTTCAGAAATTAGTTTCGCGACTATGATTGACATAGGTAGGTAAACATAATAACTCTGTTCCAACACGTCAAAAAATCGTCCCATGAACGGTTTCGAAACCACTCAGTATAACAATTTTAGTTTCTGCGCAGAATCGTGACGGTACATTGTACGGTTTTCTGCTGTGTTGGAACAAAGCTAATATTATTCATTTCTTTTTTTTTAATGTTTATTTCTTTATCAGGAGACACAATAATTAAAATATTCCTGGTTACATACAGGTACACCATATTCTACAATGCATGTATCCAAACTTTTTTGGTAGAATCATTGGTAACGAAATTTCTGTTTTAGATCAACCAGGCCCTTCATGTCGTCAATTTTTATCTACTGAAACTTCTGCAATTCGGGCAGACATTGCTACAACAAGTGGAACCATCACATCTGCAAACATGAAAAAGTCACCAACCAACTTTGTCTCTTAAAACTTTTATTGGTAGGTACCGTAAGTGTTATTGCTTAATGAATAACCACCCAGTTGGGAGTAGGTGAATTTTAAAACATCCTAACTCAAGTAGGACTACTACTATAAAAGACTACTAATTACTAAAACTTGCAGTCGAATGCTAGAAAAATTAGAAGCTAAATGTGCGAAAAGCTCGTCTCCAATCTTGATCTATTTTTTTTTTTGCAGGTCATGAGAGACGATGCCAAATTTTAAAGGACATTAACGTCACTAGGCAAAAAATTCCTATCCCCAAGGGAAAAATATCTTTATTCCAAAGTTATAGAAGCCAGCAATAAGTTAAGAAGAATCAGTAGAAGGTTGTCGTCATTTAAATCCAAAGTTTGTGCTGCTGAATAACTTGCATCATAAACCAAATTTCAAAGGCTCGTAGACCACGTCAATCCATTGATATACAGCTTTATTTTAAGCCAAGTCCGTACTCAAAACCAAAAGCCTAAAGCTAGACGATTTACATTGGACGAGAAGTTGTTGGCGTTGTCTTTGCTTAAAGCTAGTGGTAAAGGGTATAGACTATTATCAAAAATATTTATTCTATCATCCAGGCGAAATCATTTTCTTGAATGAGCTTTATATTATGTATGACTACATAAACTTTCTACCTAACACATGCGGAAAGTATATTTTCTGGACTTAAAGGCTTGTCCGAACTCTGCTTTTTGTTGTCATTCGTGCAACTTCCATCACGTGCAGAAACACTTTCCTCACTTGTTAGGTTAACAACGATTCTGGATTGTGAGAAAAGGACCTCTTTTGTCATTTTATTTACGATTTAAGTTTTTCATCAAGCTATTGTTAAATGTACGTCATTACTTCTTGTAACTGTCCTTATTATCTTTAACTTAACTAGCATTACCTACCTATGTATGTATACTTACATGAAAAAAAACTGTTTCGCAATAATTGTAATTAATTCCATATTCTTTAATATTTTCTGTTTCAAACTTTAATAAATATCTAAATTTGTCATCTTAATTCTTAGTCAATTTTACCTTGAAGGCGCTTCAACACTACCGATTTTATGAGTTTCTTCTTTTTGGCACAATTATTTTATGCCAAAAAATGGTAGAAACTTTAAAGTGGTGGTGTTGAATCGCTAGAATCAAACGATCCACCAGAACGAATAAGATACCGAACGAACCCTAATTGCGTTTTGCATTCGCCAATAAATCCAGAATTACAAAAGCTTACCCCCCCAGTCACTAGAGGCGCTGATCCTGGGGGGATGTTTTGTGGCCCGATGTCAAATTTAGTTCATAGTCAAACTAAATTTCCATATGTACAGGGTATTTGATTATATTTGGCACCATACCTACAGCCTTTACTATTTAAGATAGAAAAAAAATTTAAATACAAAACTTGACAGTTTTTTTCTATATTTTCTTTTGACAGTATCAGAAAAAACAAACTCGCATCGGAAAATGGAGAAACGTAGGCAACTTCTACTTTTTTCAATGGAACACCCTGTATATTATGCGATAAAATTAAAGATCATTTCTTCCTGATTCCAAATATATATATACTGATCATATTTGAGTGAGTCGTTTTTGATATATCTTAGCTTAAATTTTAAATAATATCCAAAGGAATTTTATGAAGATTTAAATGTCTTGACATCCTTATGAAATTTCTTTGCAAATTTAATCTAAAATATTTCAAAAACGGCTCACTCAAATGTGCTCAATATATATATATATTTGGAATCAGGAAGAAAAGATCTTTAATTTTATCGCATAATATACAGGGTGTTCCATTGAAAAAAGTTGAAGTTGCCTACGTTTCTCCATTTTCCGATGCGATTTTGTTTTTTCTGATACTGTCAAAAGAAAATATAGAAAAAAACTGTCAAGTTTTGTATTTAAAATTTTTTTCTATCTTAAATAGTAAAGGCTGCAGGTATGGCGCCAAATATAATCAAATACCCTGTACCTACAAAGAATATGATAACAATACTTCAAGTAGTTTAGCGTTAAAATTATCACAAATTTAATTTCTGTATTTTTCGCAACTGATGGTGAAATTTACTTTTCATCACCAGTTGCCAAAAATTTTACTTTTCGTAACTGGTGATGAAAAGTAAGACATTTGATAACGTCAACGAGTTTTGAAAAGTGTCACTTTAAATGTCAAAATTAGAAAAAATAAAATACACAATTAAAACATTGTCATTCTATTTATTTTTGGACATTTTTACTGTGAAGAACAATTAAAAATAAAGTGCTTTCCTCAAATTGTTTTTGTGCAAAGTGGGTGACAATAAAATCCACATGGTTTGCAATGAAAATGTGACGGTAAACTTGGTATCGGTTATAAGAGATGGCGCCGTATGCGGGCTTAGTGAGTTTTTTCATAAATAAGTAAAATAGATAATTTTTTTTTTTTGTTTTTTTTTTGGATTTTTTCGATTTATTATCGTAGGATGGACAAAGACAATTCCAATAAAGCAAAAATCATAAAAATCAGTCCAGTCGTTCTCGAGTTATAAGTGCTCAACAACAACACAACTGTGTTTTATATATATAGATTACTACAATTTTGATATTTTTTGAGCTACCCTGTATGCTGTTTGACTTGGAACCATTTTAAGTGCACCTAATATGATTATGAGACATGCACCAACTTTTGGCCTTGTTTGTATTTTGATTGTGCTATTACTAAAAAAAAATCCCATATGTTGCACACTTAAGTAATGACACTGTATCATATATCGATTATCTGGGGCCAAAATTTTACAATTGTTTGCCATTGGATTTGTGAATTGAAAAATCAAAAAATGCTTTTAGGAACAAAGTGAAAGATCACATTTTTCAGAATATGGAGGAGTTTCTTTCCTTCCTCTAAGGTTAGAGACTTATTCATAGTTATTAATGATACTAGTTCGATATGAACACCATAATGAAACGCGTGTAACATTAAACTACGAAGCGTTAGCCGAGTGGTTTAGTTACACAAGTTTCATAAATAAAGTTCATATCGAACGTGTATCATTCAAAATTTAATCTACCATGATCCACATAGATTTGATTTGCCTTGAAATAGCAAAAACTTTAAAAATTAAAATTCAAAATTTAGCAGGTGCCCGTATACTAGTCGAGAGTCGGGAACCTGCTTGTTGATTTTTAGAATTTTGACTTTGGCAGCTTCAACATTGGAGTCCCTTTTTGTGCCACAAATTGTTTTATAGTGGAAAATAATATTAATATTCGTGATTCTGAGTTTGAAAGTGTCCCTTCGAATATCCAGACAGCATCAATGAAAAGGTTCTTCTGGTAAATAACTTTATTTTTGTATATTTTTCATTTCATAATTTGGGTGCTTTTATGAATTCTTAAACGCACTAGTGCTATTATAAAGTACCTAATGACATTTAAATGACAATGCTAAATGTGTCATAATGACACCGAAGTAGATCAAATTAGTGTAAAGTAATGTTTAGCTTGGGGCGTGAAAGAATAATGCAGTTGATGTTCAAAATACAATTGGTTTTCTACAAAACTGCATATACAGGTGTTTCATACACTTAGGTGCACCATACAGTCTTGGAATAATTTTGTTAGGCTGTATGATTATTGTAACTCAAATTGTTTTTTTTTTTTTTTCAAGTTTATTTAATAAATACAAAATACAAAAATAATTTTATTTTTGAGTAAAAAACAAATAATTAAATATAAGGAAAAATATATGTATATTTATTTTATTAACATATGATTTATTAACAAACCTTACTCTACTTACTTACTCTAACATAAAAAAATAGTTTCTAGAATGGTTCACAGGTAGGGACCCCAACCAATGTACATCTGACATAAATTGTCCACACTCTTGGCTTCATTGATCAGATAATTGACCTGTCCTTCTATAGATAGACATTGAGACATTGTCCTACTTTTTGTTTTCACTTTTCCTTGCAGTCTAAACTCGATGTTCTTTATATATTCAAAGGCCTTAAAATAAAACAAGGTTTGGAGATACTTTCAAAAAAAATCTGTAATAATTTTTATGATTTTTCCCAAGCCATTTTTGAAATAAAAGTATATTTCTGAACTTTTGTTCAATAAAGCCATGTTGCCATAGGTCTTGATTCGCGAAGAATATATTTGATCCTACTTGGAGGGAGTTTTTAATAATCTTGTGACAGTAAATCGTTTGCAATACCAATAAAAAATTAGGTTATCAGCAATATCAACAGAATAGCAAATATCATAGGGCATTACAAATTGATCCCCCGTATTTTTTTCTTGAGCCGTTCCTGATGTGAGTAAGTTTCTGAGCTTTTGTTCAAAAACTCTATCTGCGCCAAAATAAATTCAACTGATAACTGGCTGAACTGATCGTTTCTTTTATCTACTATCAGAACTTGATTCCATACATCAACGTGCAACCAAGAACGTGCATGGCGCTTTTGTACAGACGCTCGCACAAAACTGCAGTCTTGCTATTCTTGCTACAGTATTCCGAGTATGCATACAAAATTGCACATTCAAAAACGCGACGATATTTTGCATACACATTGATGTTTTTGTTTGCACGTTCATGTATGTGCGTACATGTTTTCAGACATCCACGTCCGTGTGTAACCGCCTATTAGTTTAATTTTGAACACTTTCCACCTCCTTTAGATGTTTGTCTTTTCAACCAGCCTGCTGGCATAATATTTGATTTCGACCACATTCCTTACCTGTTCATTGACTCTTTCGGAATTATGTGCGACAGAAGGATTATTTCTCGGCCAAGAAACCAAAGGATCGTAAACAAAAGGTGTTACAATAGACATCAGGGTAGCCGTATTGGTCCTTAGGACTCTCAAAGTGAATTCACAAGCCTTTCTGAAAACGCCTTCCACCCCTAAAGGACCCATTGCTGCGATCATATTCTGAGTGAGTCTAAAAGGAACTCGTTCAGGCCATTCAAATGATTCTCCTTAAATTGTTATTGAAGTAAATTTTTGCCAAACGAAACTATTATTAATTTACCTTTGTTGAATAGGCAGTTAAAATCAACATGTACAACATCACCGCATGTAGAATCTAACAAAATATTTTCGCCGTGTCTGTCGCCCAATCCCAACATATACCCGGTTATTGAAATAACTGCAGTAGTCCTAATGTATCCTGTCCTCGCTGTTAACCATGTTTGTGCATCAGGAAATGTTTTCCTAAACCACTCTCCCAAGACTGGCGGGTGCAGTTTCAGTAAAACATTATTGAATATTTCTTTTTTCTTTGCTAACGGATCTCTCAAATTGCAACAGACTTCTTTTACTTCTCGTGGTCGCATTCCCAATCCTGAAAATAACCAAATAGTTTAGTCGCATTACAAGATCAAATGAGATTTGTACCTTTCTGTCTATAAATATTCATTAATACGGGCCTCAAGCCTACCAAATCATTAACCCACTCTATCAAACCACACTCTTCGTTCAAAGGAGCCACAGAATAAAGTCTAATATTTAATCTACGTTGTCTTGCTTCAGCATCTCTGAGTAATAAATGATTAACTATATCATTGAATTCCATTAATCTAAAATCTTTGCGCAAGTCATCTTTTGGCTTCAACATAAAAGTGTAGCTAGAATAAAATACTTATTTTATTTGTTGTACAGGGTGTTTGTTTATAACTTGAACACTCAATAACTTTTTTATTATTGAGAATAAAGGGCATATTCAAATTGGAAAATTTCTTTTTTTAAATGGAACGCACTGTATATTTTTGCATTTTTGAAATTCTTAGAAAGTTAGCTTCACAAACATATCAAATATTATTTGGATAACAAAAATATACAGGGCATTCCATTTTAAAAAAAATACCCTGTAAACCTATGACGACAAAAAATATCGTTGTAGCGCTTAAGGTTGCAATTTACCAAGAAATTTTCCAGCTTAAACATGCCCTTTATTTTCAATAATATGAGAAAGTAACTGAGTGTTCTAGTTATAAACAAACACCTAGTACAAGGTATAAAAGATATTTGAAAAAAAATCTTCAACTGTTTTCAAGCAAATAACATAAATTAATCTCAATAGAATGTGGGCTGCAGTGAAATTAAAATATAGTAAAATTGAAATCACAACATTTCAGAAAAATTAATAAATAAAGAAAGCACGGTGTCGCCAACAAAGTATCAAATTGCGACCGCAAATGAGGGCGCAAACTGGTGCTTTGCGGCCCGGTCGTACATGAAAAAAAAAAATGTTTTTAATCATTCTTTAAAGTTTACTGAAGTAGTAGGTCTGTTTCTGCAGAAATCACAAACCAGTCAGAGTGAATTTCATTGGTTGAAACTAGTTTTCTGACTGTTTTCAACCAATGATCTTGACCTATGACTCTCTTGGTCCAACTGACATTCTATCTGTCGACACTGAACAAAATATCGGAAATAAAAACACAAATTAAACACTTGAAGGAGGCAAACAGGGAAACTGAGGAAAAGGTCTTAAAATGCAAAAGTTGGCTCAAGACTCAACATATAAAACTGAAAGATATGATCGAAAACAACAGAGCTTGAAGAACTATGGCCGAGGTTCTAGAACAAGAAAGAAACTCATATACAGGGTGTCCACTTAGTGCGATATCGGACGATATCTCCTTACAGGGTGATGCAAAATTTAAATTACAAAGTTGTTTGATATTCTAATATGCATTAGTTAAAAATATTTTTGAATATACAGGGTGCTCCGTTTATGGGGTATGCGACAGAACTTTGTTATTTTAAATAGAACACCCTGTATGTGATTGCATATTTGGATTCTACGTAGATTTCATGTAATATAGCCTATTCCTAAGTTCAACTGTTTTGAAAATATTGACAGATGAAAATTGACTTTTTTCAACTTTGACAGGCTGTAAAACCTAAACGGTTAATTTTAGACAAAAACCTGTTTTACATTCCTATCTTAGATTTTTATGAACTATCATTTGACACCAACTTTGAATTTAATCCACGATTAAAAATTCCAGTTGAATTTAATCTCCGGTTAAATTCAAAGTTGGTGTCAAATGATAGTTTATGAAAATCTAAGACAGGAATGTAAAATAGGTTTTCGTCTAAAATTAACCGTTTAGGTCTTACAGCCTGTCAAAGTTGCAAAAAGTCAATTTTCAACTGTCAATATTTCCAGAACAGTTGAACTTAGGTATAGGGTATATTACATGAAATCTGCTCAGAATTTTACGTAGAATCCAAATATGCAATCACATCACATCTATTTAAAATAACAAAGTTCTGTCGCATATCCCATAAACGGAGCACCCTGTATATTCGAAAATATTTTTAACTAATGCATACTAGAATATCAAACAACTTTGTAATTTAATTTTTTTTCTTGCATCACCCTGTGAGGAGATATCGTCCGATATCGCACTAAGTGGACACCCTGTATAGTAGAGGTCAAAAAACTGAAAATGCTCGAATTTGAGTATCCCCGACCTCAACATACCAAAATTACACCTACAGGTGCGGATTTACACTGGAACCATAGAAACAATCCTCACCAGCCTCATCACTAAGTACACGGTGATCTATTATAAATGTCACCCCCTGCTAACTTTCTCATTTGACGTTTTTGACAGAAGTGTCAAATACAAAAGTTTTAAGAAATTGTCAAAAGTTTTTAACTGAATCAGTGTTAGGCATACAGGGTGCGTCAGAAAAGTGCAGCAGTGTGAAGTTACATTTTTTCAAATGGAACACCCTGTATATTGCGCGCTTATTTGTTAGTCTCATTCAACCTGATTTCAACTATATATGGTTTGATATGTTTATCTCTCGGAATGTCTCCAAATTCTGTGCCAATAGGGAAAAATAGGGAAAAACGCGAAAATCCCTTCCTAGTTCTCTCATGTTTTTTTTTTTAATAATAATAATAACTTTTTTCTTTGGATAGCGGGTAAAGCAGCCAAACAAGTTTATTTTTCTAAAATAATTCTTTATTACTAACCAAGCTTTCGATACTTTTTTGTATCTTCTTCAGGGCAGTGCCGGTTTAGGGTAGCTTGCCGCCCGGTGCTACAAAAACGCAGCGCCCCCCGCCCGTTCGGAAAAAAACGAAACAATTTTTTTGGAGCATTTATTTCAAAAAATGTATTTAATTCCTTTATATAGGGTGTCCCAGGGAAAACAGTCCATCTCGATTTATTGGATTTGGAATGAGAATCTGGAGAAACGCTGTTTTCTTTAACACCCATAGTTTTAACCTCCTAGTTGGGGGAGAACAACCCCCCAAATTTGAATAGGGGATAGGGGTCGTGTCCTACCTCTTTTTAACGGTCTCATCGAGTTCTTTATAGCCCTAAATTTTCGTCTTATCATTTTCATCCGTAACGAAATGTCAAAATCTTGGAAATAGACTATCGTTTTAGTGGGAATAAAAGTGATACCTCCCTCCCCTTAATAAAAATACTTGAAATTGAAGTTTGTTATCATTATTATTTATCAGGTGAATACATGAATTGTAAATTGTAAGTATGTTTATTAAGGGAGGCAAGTATCAATTATTATACTCCTACTAAAACAATAGTCTATTTCCAAGATTTTGACAAGCTGTCATTTCGTTACGGATGAAAATAACGAAATTCTAGGGCCATAAAGAACTCGATGAGACCTTTGAAAAGAGGTGTGACACGACCCCTATCCTTATTTAAATTTGGGGGGTTGTTCTTCCCCTAGCTAAGGATTGAAGCTACGGGAATAAAAAAAAAACTGGAAAATATTTCACCCGCAAATCAAAAATCGGCGTGTCCGAATGTTTTTCCCGATTTTCATTCCAAATCGAAAAAATCGGGGTGGACTGTATTCCCAGGGACACCCTGTATATATTTATTACGCAACGACGCCACCGCCAAACAATATTATTATTATCTCGAAATGAATAATTGAAGTGAGATGCGAGCTGACTATTGTTATCGCTGTCGGCTATCGCACGAGTGAAGCCTAGTACTCATAATTGCGAAATTCGCTCTTTTTTGACATTGCTTCGACAATTTGACGTTTGATTCACGCATAAAATGTCAAATTGTCGAAGCAATGTCAAAAAAGAGCGAATTTCGCTGTAATGAGTACTAGGCTGTCCATAAATTCTATTATCACAATTATTGCATGGAATGGAATATACGATATTTGATTTATTTAGATTTGATGTTTGATCTTTTAATTTAGAATAGAGTTTATTAATAGGTTTTATATTTTTATTAGCAATCTTAACATTTTCATTACTAAATATTTTTTTAATTTGAGGATTAAGTTGTTTTATGTTTATGTATGGTATAGAACAATAAAAAATATCATTGTTTATATTATTATTGATGATTTCTTGTTGATTATTAATGATATTATTATACCTATTATTATTATTGAAAATAATTTTATTCAAAAATTGTTGAGGATATAAATTATCCAAAAGCATAGACAAAAGTATTTTTTTTAATTTAATGAGATTGTTCTGAAATAATGTTGGATGAACTAATTTTTGAATTCTATTTTTCATTCCTAATATCAAATTAACTTTCATCTGATTACTGTGATAAGAATGATAATTTAAATAACGTTGTGAATTTGTTGGCTTTATGTACGAATCTGTTATTAATGTATTATTTTGTTTAATAAATAATAAAGAATTATTTTAGGCTGCTTTACCCGCTATCTAAAGAAGAAAATGTAAAAAATCCAGCCGTTATCCTCAATCCTGTCAATAATAATAATAATAACTTGGTCATCTGGATTCATTATAATATTCCACCTTGTATATTGATGAATAAAACTTAAATAAATTGTTTATAGAAAAAATTCTCTAAAGCTTAAATGGTATAATTTTTCTTATTTCAATGTGAAACCTTGAAAGGGGTTTTCATGTTTTTCCCTATAACTATTGAAGATAGACTTATCAAACCATATATCGTTGAAATCAGGTTTGAGGGTACTAACAAATGAGCGCACAATATACAGGGTTTTCCAAAAAAATATAACTTCACACTGCTGCATCTTTTTGACGCACCCTGTATGCCTAAAACTGACTTTGTTAAAAACTTTCGATAATTTCTCGATACTTTTGTATTTGACAATTTTGTCAAAAATGCCAAATGAAAAAGTTAGAAGGGGTGACATTTATAATAGATCACCCTGTACTTATTCTGCGCGATAGTACGATCACAAACCTTTATAAGTTCCTGAAAATCTATCAAGACAACAAATATTACAATGTACTGACCTTTGTGGAGCACAATGCAATCATGGAGAAAATTGTACAAGATATCGATCTATTGACGAAAAACTATACCAAGAATGACTTTGTAATTGTCTCAGGTGGTTTACAAAATGCACGTCGAGGAAGCCATATCGACCTCAAGATTTTTGAACAGCTGGAGGGCATCGGTTTGCATACAAATTTAATTTTCTTATCAGTTCCTCTATGGTGCAATAGAGTTATACAATATAGGATTACACAAATTTATAAACGAGGTAAATATTTTGATATTTGAAAAACTAAGGGGTGCTTTAAAGTTATTTTTTCTACTTGCGTGCGCAAAGTTATTACTTTGCACACTCATTTGCGTGCGCAAAGTTGAACTTTGCG